TCCCAAGACCTTCAGACCTCCCTTTTGGCCGAATAACAGGCGTGAGGACCAGGCAGAGTAAAACAAGGAAAAGGTTTATTTTATAGGAGGTCAAACAACAAGGTGCAGAATAATAACAGTAAGTGGGTGAAAAGAAAAGCGATCAAATGCCCTAACGCATCTAAATATATACTTTCCCTAGCTCACTATCTGCAGTGGCCTTACAGTACTCACCCTTCCCTCAAGATGAGGTTTTTTTCCTGCAGCAGCCTTCCTTCTGGCTCTGCCCTCTGGAAGAAAGAACAGCTCTTCCTGCTGCTCCAGATCTTTTATTCCAAGCCCTCCTCTTTTCCTATTGGTCCATTTTGGCTCCAAAACCTCCCAGGGGCTTCTGGGAGTTGTAGGCCCAGCCTCACCTACTGCTTGCCAGGCTCCCTGGGCCTAGTAGGTTTCTGGTGGCACAGCCCAGATCATGACACCTACTTTTTCCCCTGCCCCTGAAGGCTCATATGTCAACATGAATGTTTTTTTTTTACAGTTGTAGCTGAAATGCTGAAGACTAGCCAGTGTTTCTCCCCCCCCCAATATATTTTATAAGTTGTTGAGCACCCCTGTAGACACGAAGCCCAGAACTGTTGTGACAAAATGAAGAGAGCACACCACCCGTGGAGAATTATTTAATTCCTTTGTATGCTGCCTTTCCCCCCAGTGGGGACCCAAAACAGTCTGCGTCCTTCTCCCCTCCTCCATTTTATCCTCACGACAACCCTGTGAGGTACTTAAGGTTGAGTGAGTGTGACTGGCCCAAGGTCACCCAGCCAGCTTCCATGGCAGAGTGGGGATTAATAGGCGTGCGTGTGCCAGCGAACCGAGAGCAGGTCTGATTGAGTAACTTCATTGGGCACTCCATGAAATTGCTGAGCAGTGGGGTTAGAACGGATAAAAGGAAGTCCTTCTTCACCCAGAGAGTGATTAACACATGGAATTCACTGCCACAGGAGGTGGTGGCGGCTACAATTATGGATGGCTTCAAGAGGGAATTAGATAAGCATATGGAGCAGAAGTCCATCCGTGGCTATTAGCCACAAGGTATAGACAGGAACTCTCAGGCTGGGGCAAGTGATGCTCTGTATTCTTGGGGCTTGGGGGGTTGGGCAACAGTGGGAGGGCTTCTAGTGTCCTGGCCCCACTGCTGGACCTCCTGATGGCACCTGTTGTTTTTGGCCACTGTGTGACAGAGTGTTGGAGTGGGTGGGCCATTGGCCTGACCCAACATTGGCTTCCCTTATGTTTATGTTAATTGCGTTGGCCAAGACACATTCAGCTTCTTCCACCATCTGGGAATCCCCGTTGCAGTTTGAGAAAGCTGGTCTCTGAGCAGCACTGGTTTGAATTCTGTGCACTCACAACCATCTGCCTCTAGAGAAGTAATATTTCATGCATCCTGCCTGCCGTATGTATGGCCAAACAGACTAGCAGAGTATGTCTGTAGTCTGGCAACTGTGTGACTGGCACGAGAGAGCCATCCTTTGGGCCACTCGAGTCAGCATAAAGCACTTTAGCCAGAGCGGTGTGGCTGAAGGATCATGACACAGGTGGGCGAGATACAGGTGAGTAGCTTTAGTTGGTTACACGGGAAAGCTTTTCATATAAAAATCTTTCCTGTGTACTTTTTAAGCACTATTGATTTAGAATCTCAGAGTTGGAAGGGACCTCCAGGGTCATCTAGTCCAATCCCCTGCACAATGCAGGAAATTAACAGATATCTCCCTCCCTGCACAAACTCACAATGACCACTGTTCCATGCCTAGAAGATGACAAAAAACCTGCAGGAGCCCTGGCCATACTGGCCTGGAGAAAAATTTATTCTTGTCACCAAAGTGGCGATCAGCATTTCCCTGGGCGTGTAAGAAAGGGCCACGAGAACTAAGCATTGAGGCAACCCTTCCTGCCCTCCCTCTCAGGATCTGCCTAAGGTCACTGAACCAGCCTTGCTGTCAGATGGCCATCTAGCCTCTGCTTGAAAACCTCCAAAGGAGAGCCCACCACCTCCAGCGGAAGCCTGTTCCCCTGAGGAACCGCT